GGACGAGGACGGGGTAGACAAGAGAGTGACGTATGATCCATCGATAGAGCTACAGAGAGCTGAGGTAGCCTCTATATATGGATGACTAGGACAGGGGACTAGATAGGGGGCATAGATCCATGATGCCATAGACGATGTCGACAGATCTGGTAGTGATGTCGATAGATCTGATGATGAGGTCGATAGATCGGAATGGCGTGTAGGTGAATGAAGTCATGGATCTTGCAAGAGGAATGAATGATGTCAAGGGATCAGGGCACGCGTCGAGAGATCTTGGGGACGATGACGTCGTGTATGGTGTGGTCATGACAGTAGCTCCCCTCCGAGAAGGTGGCGTCTCGACACCACATGGAGGAACTACTGATCTACTGGGAATAATGCGTGAAGTCGTACACACCTTGGTGATGGAGAATGGCATCCCCAAGGCCTTCGATCGCGAGAGTGAATCGGTTGCAAACGTGGTACCAGCGGCTGAGTCTGCGCGAGTACTGCTGCTGACTTGGTATTGGGAAGGTTGCACACGGGTGAACTCGAGAAAGCAGGGACGTCCGAGGACTCGGTTGTTGAACTTTGAGGCCGCTTCATGCAGAAGGATCGCATGGCGCATGTCGAAGGTGTCCAGGCAGAGTTGCTCTTCAAGTGCAGCGAGGGAGACATCGTAAAGAGCGAAGAGATGGAGAGGAATGTTCGGGATCTCACAGTCGATCTTGTTGAGGATACGGTTGGCCACCTTCATGAGATCGCGGATGTGGTCGGCGAGAGGAAGTGGGGTGCCGTTCTGGTGGTAGAGCATGGCGAGAAGTGATCTGAGAGAGAAGAAGGTCGAGAGGACGTTCGAGAGGGAGACCGAGGAAGGATGATCGACATGGAGATGGAGACGTGGTTGCCTTATATGGCAGTGAGGGCGCCTGTGATGACGCCGAGGGCGTGTGAAATGACGAGGAGTGTGTACCAGATGACGAGGAGGGCGTACCAGATGAAGAGGACGGTGGGTGTGTTGGTGAGGTCGGACTGAGTCCGACCAAGGGAAGCTCCTTGGTGAGGTCGGACTGAGTCCGACCGACTTGTCCCACCGGCTAGGACTTTCGGCGTCGCCGCCGCTGTAGCTGAGGGAATACATGGCGAGGATCTTTTCCATGCATTTTCTTGAAGACTCTGAACGCTGTAGTGTCACAGACATTGTCGTAGGGTTCCCAACTGTTTTCGGCGTCTGAGTAGTCACGCCACTTGCAGAGGTACTGGTAGTTGGAGGAGTCTTCAGGATCGACGCGTGAATCGAGGATGAAATCAAGCTGGTACTCTTGTTCACCATCGATTTCAATAAGCGGTGGCTCGTCTTGGAATTGACCAGGGTGTCCTTCTTGCACAGGTTCGAGGAGACTGACATTGAAGATCGGGGTGACATTCAAGCCAGCAGGGAGTTCGAGTACCCATGCGAGAGGAGACTTGGTCGGGGCGATGATCTTGAGAGGTCCGATTCGATGCTGGGAGAGCTTGGCAGCTTCTCGGGAAGGTTTGATGTACTTGGTAGAGAGATAGACCATATCATTGACCTTGAACCGAGGAGATTCTTGAGCATGGCGGTCGTAGAAACGCTTGTAATTTGCTTGAGCTTTCTCAAGGTTCTTGACAAGTTGTGCTCGGAGGGCAGAGCGTTGCTCGTTGAACTGGCTGATCGCAGGGAGTTTTGTCGGCTTGGCATGATCGAGAGGAGAACGTGGATGAAGGCCATAGACAACTTCGAATGGACTGAAGCCTGTCGAGGAGTGAACTGAGTTGTTGTAGACGAACTCAGCTTGCGCGAGCTTGGAGTGGAGAGCCCAATCATCTTGATTATGATTGATGTAGATCCGCAGGTACTGCTCGAGGACTTGGTTGATGCGCTCATTACCACCATTAGCCTGAGGATGGAAGGCTGTCGTGAAGTTTGGTGTAGAGCCAAGGAGGGAGACGAAGGCACGCCAGAATTCTGACCGAGTGATTGATCCACGATCAGAGACAATGTCGGTTGGAATGCCATGAAGTCGAACAATGGAGTCAAAGAACATCTCAGCTTGTTTCGGGGCATCGAAACCACGTTCGGTGTATGGCACGAAGTGGGCCATCTTGCTGAATCGATCGACAAAGATCATGATGCAATCGAATCCTTTCGAACTGGGGAGCTTGACAATAGCATCCATGGAGATAGAGGTCCATGGGGCTGCCAGGATCGGGAGAGGCTGAAGGAGACCATAAGGCTTGTGCCGAGGAGTCTTGTTCCTTGCACAGGTCTGACAACCGTTGACGTAGAGGTCGATAAACTTGCACATGCCAGGGAAGAAGAAGTGACGTGTGGCAAGTTCTCGAGTTTTCTTCTGACCGAAATGACCTGCGAGAGGGTCATTGTGACACTGTTTGATGACATCGAGCTTGAGTTGATGATCATCAGGGACATAGAGGGTATGACCGAGGTGAACTGCATTGTCGACGTATTGCAGAACTTGAAGGTCATCGAGAAGATTGTCAGGAGGTGAAAGAGTGGGATCCTTGAGATAGGGGATCAGATCTGAGAGATCGGGATCGAGGGGCTGAGCACTTTGAATGCGCTGAATGAGATCTGGAGGAGTGTCCAAATCATCGAGATCTTGAACTGGGTCTTTGGGAATGACACGAATCGCAGAGATCGGAACTGGAATCGAATTTTTGTCGTCAAGGAAGAGATCGGGAGAAATCAATGCCGTAGGAGGGATGTTGGATGGCTTGGTTCCCTCCTGGAAGCCTTGGCGCCTCGACAAGGCATCAGCTTGAGTCATCTTGTTGCCTGGAGTGTAGACAATCTTGGGTCGATGCTCTTGCATTAGGTGAAGCCATCGGATGTGGCGCCGATTTAGGACGCGGGCTGTCTTCCAGTATTCAAGGTTCTTGTGGTCTGTCCGGATGGTAAGGTCCTTGCAGCCATCGATGTAGCACCGCCAAGAGTGCAGGGCTTCGATTACTGCAAGCATCTCCTTGTTGTAGATGTCGGAATTGAGCTCGGCTGGCAGCATTTTGCGCGAGAGGTAGGCAATTGGCTGGAGAATGCCATCGATGAGGTGATAGATGACAGCACCGAGTGCATAGTCGGATGCGTCGGTCTCAATGACAATCGGGAGGCCAGGCTGGAAATGGACAAGGATTGGAGCAGTCGTGAATGCCAACTTAAGTTTCTCGAATGCTTCTTGTTGGGCCGAGTCCCATTTGAAGGGAACATCTTTCTTGGTGAGATGGACAAGTGGTGAGACGATCCGGCTGTAATTTCAAATGAAGCCCCGATAGAAGTTGGCAAAGCCAAGGAATGATCGAACACCATTGAGGTTGGTCGGTGTGGGCCAGTCAATGATGGCTGAGACCTTCTTGGGGTCCATCTTGATACCTTCGGGAGTGACAATGTAACCAAGGTAGTCGACTTCGTTCTTGTGGAATTCGCACTTGCTAGCATGGGCCCAGAGTTCATGTTCGCGGAGCTTGGCAAGTACTTGATTAACGTGGTCGACATGTTCTTCCTTGGTGTTCGAGAAGATCAGGATGTCGTCAAGGTAGACAATGACGAAGTGGTCAAGGAATGGGCGAAGAACATCGTTGATGAGGTTCTGGAAAGATGCCGGGGCATTGGTGAGACCAAAGGGCATGACGA